TTTCCTTTATTTTGGTCTCTTCTGTCTCCCTCTTTTATTTTGTCTTCATTTCCTTTCCTTTTTATTCAGAACTGTCTCTTCTCTTCCTTATTCTTTCTGGGTTATATTTTTTTCTGGTCTTCTTCTCTCTTCATTTATTCCTTCGTTTCATGTCTTTTATTGATTTTTTCTTATCTATCTCTTCTACATTTTCCTACCTTCATTTTCTTTTTTTTAATCCTTTTCTGTCTCCTGTATATTTTCCTTGATTGAATGCCTTGGTCTCTCTCTTATTTTTTCTTTATTTGCTTTTCTTATTTGCTCTGTTCATTTTTCTTTCTTTTGTCCAATTCTATTTCCTCTTCTTGCCCTTTATTTATTTTTCTTTTTTCTTTCATTTACTTTGTTTCCTTCATTTGTCTTCCTTTCTTTCCCTTTGTTCTATCTCTCTTTCTTTGTTGTCTTCATTTATTTTATTTTGATTTACTCTGTCCTATCTCTTCCTCTGTTCCCCTTCATTTTTGTCTAGGGTTTGTTTTGTTTCCTTTCTTCTGTCTTTCGCTTATCGCTTCTTCCTTTTTGTATCCCAGAGGAAAAAAACAACAATAACATCAGTAATGCCATGAAAAAATATCACAAATAACATAAACAAACAAGAACTACAATATCATCTACTTAAAAAAAAGAACATCAACATAGACAGCTTCAACAAAACTCACACCAAAAACGAAAAGGAGACATACACAAAAGTAATAAAAAAAGAGAATGAGAAAGTACCGAGAGATGCCGCGACAGCCTTCCCTTCGCGCTGGACGAGGCGGTGGGCGGTGGGCGGCGGGTGGCGGGCGGTGGGCGGGCGAAGGCGAAGGGCGCGGCGACGAGGCGGGAAATTGAATCGATAAATAAAAAGGAGCTTGACCACAAAATGCCAATATCCGAGAAAAGTGCGGCCGGGGTTGGCGCGTGTGCAGGTAACGACTGGGAGCGAGCTTGTGGTTCACTTAATATTGTGGCTCGTAAACAAGCAACAGCTGCCAGCCCCCCCACCCCCTCCCCCCTCCCCCCTCCCATCGCCTGGGATCCGTGAGTAGGGGGGGGGGGGAGAGACATGTACGCACACGCAGTCGGACGCGTACATGTGCAAGCGTGTAGGGTTATGTGCACATGTGATTGTATGATAGGCCTACATTTATGGCACGTCTATGCTGTATTGTGAAAGTGTAACGATATACTAGAATTTTGAATTGCCAGGGAATGGATTTCCTGATTATGTTCGAGTGACGGGGGGAAAACACACACACACACACACACACACACACACACACACACACACACACACACACACACACACACACACACACACACACACACACACACACACACACACACACACACACGCACACGTACACGTACACGTACACGTACACACATGCGCGTGCGCAAGTAAACTTACAAGGGATTATCTAGCGCAAATATAAAAAGCTTCCTGTTAATTTTTAATTATGTAAAATGCAGATTGATGGAAAAATGTAAAATCAAAATGTACTTCAAATGCATCATTTGTATCATTGCAAAAAGGGTTTTGTTCTATTTCTGTAATTTATTTGATGGGAGAAAATATCACATTTTTACATGAATTTGTGTAATTGTTGGCTTTTGAAACTAGTGAAATGTCCGAGAAAAAATATCGCATTTTCACATGAATATCTCTAATTGTTAGCATTTGAAAAGTATTCAAATATTCCTGGAACTAACAAAGTATTTGGGGGAATTATTTTACATTTTTTTTGAACTAGAAACGGTAGTCTTACTGAAAGTTGGGTATTTATATTTGCTTTAAGCGCAATATTGAGGTAGTTTTTTTCCAGACGATAAATAAGTATGCTATTTTACTGAATATTCTCCTCAAAAACTTATTTGATTGTCATGCATTCCACATCATTTTACCTCTTTTCACATCATGCAGCAACTCGTTACGCCATGTTGGGACAGCACATCACATCACAACATACCACATTTTCATTCGCACCCTGTAACACTACATCACACAACTCTTATGTGGTATGTGGTATGCGCACCGTACTACATACCACATCAACCTGCACATCACAGTACGGAAACCACAACCACGCAGCCCAGAAAATTATCTATCCCACATCTATCTATCTATCTGTCCTTAAATACTCGATAAAATCACACATCAGGCAACACTGTCTCACATCACCCATCACGCTTCCAGAACACCACACCGCAGCCCAGAAAAAAATATTCCACATCCCCCTTCGCTGCTTGAAAGTACCACACCACATCACATGACACATGCCGCGTCACTCAAGGCACATCATTCCACGTCACCCCAGCCCAGCAGTTCCCCCCTCCCCCCCTTCCGAGTTCCAGACTTTGTTCAGCTAACAACTTGCAGCTCCTGGGGACGCGATTTTTACGTGTCACTTTCCGTCTCTGTATATTTAAGATTTTCTTCTTTTTTTCTTTTTTTCTTCTTTCTGTTTCTCGTTTTTCT